CAGGGAGGGTTTGAAAAGATGGAGTAATAGTGGGCATAGATCAATGGTGATTAACTTTATAAGACACAATGTATGGAAATTATCATAAAAAACACAATGTGAATGGAAAAAATTAGAAAGCTAATCACAAAATTAATTATAAAATAAATAAAAATGGATCTTCTTTTTAAAAAAAGAAAGAAAACTTGAAACCTTTACTGAAGATCAAAAACTAAGACTACAGTCTTCAATATGGATTACATCTCAACATCAAGAAAACAAAAATTCCACCAATGGACCAATATGACAGATGGAAAGAAGGTTGAAGTTGTCAATTATTTCATTTTATTTGGCTCCACAAAAAAACACTCATGAGAGGAGCAGTGAATAAATCAAATGGCAAGTTGCACTATGCAAATATACTATCAAGGACCTCTTTGAAGGGCTAAAAATTTATGAATATCAATTTAAAGAATAGAGGATATCAGTGTGCCTGATCCAAGTCATGGCATTTCAAATTGTTTTCTATATATGTATAAGTTGGAAAGGAATAACATGCTTAGAAAGTGATTGTCATAGTGACTTCAGCAATGATCCGCATAGTGACATATGGAAAAGCAATGGAGCAGAAACACACTGACATATCTTGACATAGAGACGGCAGTAATGGGCTCAAGTGTCAGAGAGGATGAGGATGGTACAGGATAGGACAGGGTTCAGATCTGTTGTTCATAGAGTCCCTATGAGTCATACTTGACTTGATGTCACTTAACAACCCAAACAGCAAAGTGCTTACTACAATGCCTTTATTTAGTGCTTATTCAAGTAAGTGCTTACTCAAATGCACTCTCTTAATTACTCATTGTCAAATTAGGATTGAATCACAGCTGACCTGCCAATTGGCTTTTGGAAGGCTATAATTCTCCTAAGTAACCACTGGTGAACTTCAAAAAGAAAGAATTAGCCTTCGGATTAGTAGAACAACTCCTTATGGACTATGCCACAGAGCTCCTATACTACGTGTAGTACGTACGGCTGTTGTTATCATGTGTCATCAAGTTGCCTGCAAATCAAAGCAACTCTGTATACAATAGCTCTGAACCCTACCCTATCCAGAGCCAGTCTCACTGACTCCGACACACTCAAATCCATTACTCCAGTTAAGAATGTATTATTCCTATTTTCAAAAAGCTATAAATCTTAAGGGGTAGACTATTCTGAGTGGATAGAGAAAATGGAATGCTGTGTAATGAGTATATTTAGGCCCTAAAGTGCAACCTGTAAGAATCATTATGTCTTCTTGAATGAGTAGGAAAAATCTTTGTAAGTGTATATGTTATCAGATGGAAAGTGTAGCGAAGGGGAATAAGCATTCTAGGCAAAGGCAACTGCCTATTTAGGGATAAAGAGGCATGTGAAAGCATGAAGTATTCTTCGAACACAATTCTTCAGAATAACTTTCTGTTGTTGGGTGCCATTACTTCCAGTACTTGGTAATTCTTCATGACAGAGTAGAACTTCTCCCACAGGATTTCCTAACTATAATCTTTCTGCACACCACCTTCAGGCTCCTTTTTTCTTCTGCCCCATTCCTTCTTGTTTCTTCACAATATTACACTTCTTTTCTATTCTCTACTCAAGAAGCTTCTTGCATTTACTAGTTTCCTACCATTCTACTGCCATTATCATACTGGCAAAGGACTATAAAAAAAGAGAATAATAAAACGATGTTTGTTTATGTTTCATTTAGTATACATTGACATTTGACCGTGAGAATTGTAACAAATTGTGGATAATATTGTGAAATTAGCAAAATAAAATAGCAGGAAAATTTCAGAACACTTAGCTGTACTCATGCATATATTGTTCATAGACCAAAAAGCAGTCAGGAAAAGTGTGTATCAGCTTTGCATCCTTTCACCACATCCATTCAATTTGTAACTAAACAAATAATCTAAGAAACTGAACTGTATGAAGAAGAAGAAATCATCAGGATTGAAGGAAAATTAATCAACAACCTGCAACATACAAATGGAGTAACTGCTTTCAGAAAACAAAAACTTGAGGGGAGCTCTGGTGGCCTAGTGGCAAGGAGCTGCAACTACAATCACAGAGGCGAACGGTTCGAATCCACCAGATGCTCTGCCGAGTAAGGAGGGACAATCTCCTCCTGTACCAGTCAGATCTGATTTGATGGTACACGCACACAAAAATAATAAAATAAAATTTAAAAAAAAGAAAACAAAAACTTGAAGCACTTACTGAAGAAAATAAAACACTATAATCTTCAGTATAGATTGCACTTCAATATAAAGAAAACAAAAAAAATCCTACAGCAATAAACATCATCATCATCATAAATGAAGAAAAGATTGCAATTGTCAAGGATTTCATCTTACTTGGATTCATAATCAACTCCCATGGAAGTAATGAAATTAAACAACATATTGTATTGGATAAATCTGCTGCCAAGACCACTGTAAAATACTAGAGGAAAGATGTCACTTTGGGGACTAAGGCGCTCCTGGCTCAAGCTGTGGTATTTTCAATTACCTAATATTTTTGTAAAATACTGAAAAAATGAATAAGGAAAACCAAATCACTGATGTTGTTGAATTGTGGTTTTAGTGAAGACTATTGAAAATTCTAGGATTGCCAAGTGAACAAATAAATCTTTATTAGAAAAGATGCAGCCAAAATGGTCCTTAGAAGAGAGAATGATGAGACTTTGTCATGCATAAACATGTCCAGACATGTTATAAGAAGGAGTCAGTCTCTGTAGAAAGACATAATGTCTGTTAAAGTAGAGGGTCAATGCAAAAAGGAATACCCTCAATGAGACAGAGTGATACAGGGGCTATAACAATATGCTTAAGAGTAAGGGAGCATGTAAGAGTGGCACAGGATCACACAATGTCTAGTTTTGTTGTACAGAGTGTTACTATACATTACTTACTTGATGACTCCTAAAATAACAAAACAAAAATATTTAAATTTTAGCCTGACTGCACAATTGAATTCTTAATCAACATGTTAGACTTTGAGAGCTTATAGGAATGGATCTCATATTGGTCACTGCACAACTTAGATATTAAATTACAAGTTAATATTTAATGGTAAAGATTAATAACAAATACTCAAATATTCAAACTTTATATTTCATAAATAGTTCTTAAAATTTTACTTGTAATTATAATTTGTTGTTGTTAAGTGCCATCAAGTCGTAAATGACTCATAGTGACCCTATGAATGAAAGACCTGGACACTTGTATAACTTTAATCATTTCTCCAAGTTCGTAGAGTTTCCGGAGACAAGCTACTTTGGAAGTGGATGCCACTCCTGCTTCCAAGCTTGTTTTAATCAGGGAGCTCCACCAAACACTGTCCACCACTGGTAATCATTATCCCATTTGACACATAAGTGTCACAGCGTCTAGCATCACAGCAACCACGAGTTACCCTATACAGCAAACGGACAAACAAGTACTGTGCCACTTAGAAGAATGTTTGACAAAGAACAATTAAAACCAGGCCTGAGGGCCTCAGATTTAAATCACCGACCTTTGGCTTGGTAGTAGAACTTTCTATCCACTAGGCCAACAAAACCCTTTCATTGTTATTGTTTTTGTTGTTGCTAAGTGCCGTCAAGTCGTAGATGACTCATCGTGACCCTATGAATGAAAAACCTGAACATTTAGAGAGATAAATTTAAAAAGTAAATTATACCAATTTGTAGATAAAATTTTTTTCTCCATATTGCAAAAATGAGAGTATGTTGTTGACTGTGTGTAGATTTGAGAGAGTAAATATATTTTTGCTTAAAATATTCTGTGGTTGGGGGTAAGGAACTGCCTCTTTAGATTAACTTGTTTTCATTAATTGTTTCACTAACTGTTTTACATTCTTTGCATACTAGCTTTGGTGGCCCAATGGGTAAGCTTTGGGCTACTAACCAAAATGTTAAAGGTTTTAATCTATCAGTTGTTCTGGGGGAGAGGAGCAGAAAGAGTCAAAGAGAGGGATCATGTAGACAGTTTACAGAAGCTAGAGGTTGTTAAGTTGCCCATCCCATGTGTTGGTGTTGTTGCTGTTGTTTTTGTGTACCATTGAGTCAGAACCGACCCATAGCTGACCTCTAGCGGGTTTTCAGAGACAGTTAATTGCAGGGGAGGAGACTGCCCATCGTTCTCCTATGGAGCAGCTGGTGGCCTCGAACCACTTGCCTTCAGAATTTCAGCTCAACCTGATATGCAATCCCCTTCCAGATTTGTTGTTGTTGTTGTGTATCGTCAAGTCAGAACCAACCCATAACTGACTCTTCAGTTGGTTTTCAGAGATAGTAAATCGCATGGGAGGAGATTGCCCATCTTTCTTCTGCAGAGCAGCTGATGGGTTTTGAATCACATACCTTTGTTTTGGCAGCACAGGTCAAATAACAATGTAGCTAGTAAAAAGCTTTGTTAAAGTGAAATTGACATTTATATGGGAGAAATGATCAGTATAGTGTATTTTTTTTAAAAAAGATATACATAGTGATAAAAAGTATGGACTTTGGAGTCAGCTTGGCTTGGGAATTTGATCAATTACTACTTGTGTGATCTTGATTCCTTATCATCTCTCTGACTCAATTCACATCATTACAGAAAGGGGTTAATGATTGTACCTAAATTACCATATTTTGTGAGGATTATATAAATTAATGTAAGTAACATACTTAGGAAATAGTTTGTTGATTGTAAGCAGCCAATAAATGTCAGATTGTTATCTTCTTCCAACAGACAATGTCGTTTTTGGGTCCATCATTATCCCATATGAGCTTTATAATAGCAGCTCAGTGCAGTAGGGAGAGCAAGGGAGTTTTACCCACTTTTCAGATTGGTTTTTTTCTTCACTCCTTAGGAACTAACACTGATGGTCCCTAGACTTCTCAGAGGTGACCAAAGTGCCTAAAGTTTGCAGTCTAGATTTTCCTCAGTTTCTCAGTATCTAGTTTGATTAGAATTCCTTCTCTTCCTCTCTAGGCTTCCGTAACTTGCATGTGGATGATCAGATGGCAGTCATTCAGTATTCCTGGATGGGCCTTATGGTGTTTGCCATGGGCTGGCGGTCCTTCACCAATGTCAACTCTAGGATGCTATACTTCGCCCCAGACCTGGTTTTCAATGAGTAAGTGTTCCTTAGTCCATACTTCACATAAGTACAAAGTCTATCCAAGCTTACATGGTGGTGATTGAGGTAATAGGAGTGACAGGGAGAGGGGGAGAGCTGGGTTATTTTATATAACGGTGAAGTAATGGAAAGCTGAGCAAATCAGCCAATGTAAGATGACTTTGCTAAAGCTATAAAGTAAGTTGCTAGGAGGCATTCAGGGTGGTGGTTGATGGGGAGTGGTGAGGGTGAAAGTCTTGTTAAAAGTGTTCCTTTCCCAATGTTGTCATTTTGGTTCTGCTTCTCACTTGCATTGTAGTTTAACTCAGATATTTTAATTTTTTTAAAAAAAATTTGTTTGCTTACAAAGTTAGTATACATTGTGTTTTACACTATTCTTCATTCATATTGTGTTTTACACTATTCCTCATTCATACTGTATTTCATAAAATCATTATGCATTATGTTTTAGAAAATTAAACACCACTCAACCTTGTCCCCTTGTAAATTTCCTAAGCAACCTAGAGTAAGATCTGTGATTGTGAGGACTGATGATACTTCAATGCGTCATTTGTTAAACTGATGCCAGGTCTATGTTAAATATTTTCTATATATTATCTCAGTCATTCCTCATGACAATCTGATGTGATAGCAACTGTAACATTCGCTCTTTTTAAAACTGTGGTAAAATATACATAACAAAGTAAGCTTCATCTGAACAAGTCCTGCTTATATAATTCAGTGACATTGATATAATTTTGGCTCCTCACTTTTGAATGAGGAAAATGATGCTCAACGAAATGTATCAGCTTCCATAAGATCATACAGCTAATGTGTAGTGTTGCAGTTGGAATCTAACTCTAGGATACTGTTTCTAAGGAATTAGAAGAGCTGAATTTCTTTTTTAAAAAAATTATTTTTTTATTTTATGTTAGTGTGTGTGTGTGTGTGTGTGTGTGTGTACTGTCAAATAGGATTTTGACTGGTACAAAAGGAGATTGTTCCTCTTTCTCCAGCAGAGCATCTGGTGGATTCGAACCATGCCCCTCTGAGATGGCAGTGCAGCTTATTGCCACTAGGCCACCAGAGCTCACCAAGAGCTGAATTTTTAAAGTAGCATTACTAATGACACTGCAGCATACCTAGCTCTTATGGACTTTTGGAGCTTTGACTTTCAGTTCCACATTATTTTTCACATTTTTGAGATTTTTATTCAGTTCGCTACATACTGCCTTCACATGGTGAACAGATATCAATGTGGCCCTGCCTTAGGGTTTCAGGTTTGTCTCTGTGACTTTCTTTTCCAGATTTTTTCCAAAGATGTGGGGTACTCAGTTCAAGGGAGACAAGAATTACATCTTGATTAATATGTCTACAGCTCCTATCACAAGTCCTGATATGGAAGAGGAGCTCAGACAGTACTATTTTGTTCCCACTAAAGGGCTACTACACAGCTAGCCCCTATTTATTGAACCACTATTTTGTTTAAGCTGTGCTAGATACTTTGAAAATATCATCTCAGTAGATATTTATGTAAATCAAAGAAACTTGTTTTTTGTAGATAAAATATGTATGGGGAAAATATGACATGTTTTTATCAAAGGGAAAAATCAGGCTAAGCAAAACAATGCGATTCACTCAAGATCACACATTAATTTCATGTTGGAAACAAGATTCCAATATATATTTATGTAATTTCAAGGTCTTTCTACTGTCTCATGTTAGTAACTGGTGGGAAAGCGAAGTTCCATCAAGTTCTAACTGTGTGACCTTGGCCTAGTCATTTTTTATTTCTTTTAAACAGGTTTAACTAATAATTATCCTGCTGCTAGCTCTAGTTATTGTTCAGTAAGTAATCAAGGACACAGATTTTGGGATTACACTTTTCTGCTAAAAAAAAAGCCTCAGCTCTACTGTATCCCAAATCTATGTCCTAGGAGAAGACCCTAACTTCCCTGACCATTGTTTTCTTCATATATTAATAATACCAAATCCATTGTCTTGGAGTTGATTCTAACCTACTCATAGCAATACTATAGGACATAGAAGAAATATACCATAGAGTTTCCAAGACTGTAAAGATGGGTCATCTCTGCTCATGTGATTTATTGTCTCTGAAAATCTGCTGGAAAGTAAGTGATAATTTACTAATGACTCGAGAGTACACAACAACAACAATGATATCAGTAGGGAGCTCTGGTGGTATAGCCTATATAGAGTTGTGCTGCAAACCTAAAGGTAATGACTCTCCGGCAGTTTGAATCCACCAGCGACTCCGTGGGAGAAAAATGGGCAATCTTTTCCAATATGATTTTCAACCTATGAGTCAATTCCAACTCAACAGCAATGAGTTAGAATTTGAATACCTATAATCTCTGCATGTCTGCTGATAAAAGTCCCTCTATAACATTGTGGATAGAGCTGATCAAAAAACTCTTCTCATGGACTTTGACCTGTTCTTACCACAAAGATATCTTTGATCAAGGAAGGCATTGGCCATCCCTCCTTTCCATCCCTCTTAATAAGAAATAAGTTAAAACAAAATCTACAGTAAATGATTCCTTCTAATATCACAATACAACAAAACACAGAGTGAATGTCCCTAACTTCCCAAACTCATCCAATATTGGCAGCTAGAAGTTAAGAATAACCAGAGAAATGTGAATATAACATATTCTTTCGTTTCCAGGCTGTGGTGATGACCTTGCAAAGCTCCACTCTTTTTTTCCCCTCTGGTTATTTTTATTTCCCATCCATACTTTCCTGTGCCTTTGAATGATCAAGGCAACTGAACCATCTTCTCCAGAACCTTCAGGTTTTGAGGACTTGACAAGATTATTTTTAAAAGAAAATATTAATATTTACTGTCTCTAAGCTAGTATTTGGCACTCCATGTCTACTTTCTGGTCAGTCTCACTCACTTATTCAAAGGTGCCACAGGACTATCCATAAAGTCAAAAGTCTAGTGCCACTAACTCTCAAGTTCCTAAAATAACGGACATCTTTTCTTTCTTTTTTTGAATTTAAATTTATTATTAATTTCAGTAAAAATTTACAGAGACTTTGGATTTCCATTCATTCACTGTTGCACTTTTCTCCCCTCCCAACCCTCCCCCCTAGTACACTACCTTCTTGGAAAAGTAAAAGAAAAATTCTTTCATTGTTTTACAAACCCTCCCCCAGGTCCACTCCATCATGAAGCCATCTCTCTAGACTCCTGTCATGACAAAAATAGCTAATCACATATCCCTTTTAAACAGTTTTCTCCATCATCTGTTAAAAGGCAGTATACATTATAGAACCCATCTTTCTCGGTCACTCCCCAACCCCAAAGTCAGTCCTGTTTTACAACAGTGGCACCATGCAGTATTTATCCTTTTGTGACTGAGATAATTCACTTAGCATAATGTCCTCCAGGGTCACCCATTTTGAATAATATTGTATAAGTTCTTTGTTTTTCAGTGCAGCATAGTATTCCATTGTGTGACTATACCACAGCTTCTCTATCCATTTGTTTATGGATGGGCACTTAGGTTGTTTCCAACTCCTTGCTATTGTGAATAAAGCTGCAATAAACATGGATGTGTGTATATCTGCTTGAGTGTCAGTTATGGTCTCTTTGGGGTATTTTCCCAGTAGTGGAATTGCTGCGTCAAATGGTATCTCTATTTGCAACTTTTTAAGAAAACGCCATACTGCCTTCCACAGTGGTCGCACCATTTTACACTCCCACCAACAGTAAATAATGGTTCCAGTTTCTACACAACCTCGCCAGCATTTGTTACTTGCTGTTCTATTAAATTTTGGTATTTTGAATGGGGTGAGATGATATCTCATCGTTGTCTTAATTTGCATCTCTCTTAGAGCTAGGGATTTTGAACATTTCCTCATGTGCTTGTTAGCCATATTAATGTCTTCTTCGGTGAAGTGTCTGTTCATATCCTGTGCCCATTTTTCTACTGGATTATTTACCTTTATCTTGTTGTGGTGTTCAAGTATTTTATAAATTCTGGATATAAGTCCCTTATCTGCTATGTAATTTTCAAATACTTTTTCCCAGTTGGTGGCTTCCGTTTTTACCCTGTTGGAGAAGTTTTTAGATATGCATAGGGATTTGATTCTTAGAAGATCCCATTCATCTAATTTATTTTCTCCTGCTTGTAGATTTTTCAGGATACTTGGAAGACTGTTTAACTTGTGAAATAGGACTTCTAGCATTGTTCCTAGCTTTTCTTTAATGAAGTTTATAGTCCTTTGTTTTAGTCCTAGGTTCATGATACACCTTGAGTTGTTTTTTATATGGAGTGAGGTATGTGGATCTTGCTTGAGTCTTCTGCAGATATTTTTCCAGTTTTGCCAACACCATTTGTTAAAATGGCTGTTGTTTCCCCACTGAACTGATTTCATCTCCTTGTAAAAAAATCAGTTGACCATGGGTAGATGGGCTGATCTCCGGGTTCTCAATTCTATTCCATTGGTTCATGTGTCTGTTATTGTATCAGTAAGTACCATGCTGTCTTTACCACCACGGTAGTGTAGTAGGATTTGAAATCAGGGAGGGAGACACCACCTACTATGCTTCTGTTTTTAAGGAGTGCTTTGCTTATTCTGGGCTTCTTTTCATTCCAAATGAAACTGGGGATTGCCTCTTCCATCTCTTTGAAGAATGGGATTGATATTTGTGTTATGATTGCATTAAACGTGTAAATTGTCTTTGGTAGTATTGCTATTCTCACAATATTGAGTCTTCCTATCCACGAGCAAGGGATATTCTTCCAATTCTCCAGGCCTCTATTTGTTTCTTGTAGTAATGCTTTCTAATTTTCTTTGAGTAGTTTTTTTTTTCTTCTGGTTAGATTTACTCCGAAGTATTTAATTTTTCATTAGTTTTGTGAAGGGTATTGTTTTTCTTCGTTCCAGCTCTGTATTATCTTTGTCATTATAGAGAAATGCAACTGATTTTTGTATGTTGACCTTGTATCCTGCCACTTGTCCAATAGTTTTCTTGCTGAGTCTTT